TCTTCCTTTTTTCTTCTTTCCTTTCTTCTTCTTTCTTTCTTTCTCCCTTCTCTCTTTTTCTTTCCTTCCTTTTTAAATTTCTTTCTACTTCCTGACTTCTCTGTCTCTCCTTTTTTGTATGTGTGTGCTCATGTAAGTGCAAATTCATGAGTGTGTACATATGCATGTGTGTGTATGTGGAGATAAGAAGACAAGCTTAAGTGTCATTTCTCAGGATGCCTTCTGCCCCTTTTTTTTTGAGACAGGGTCTTTCACGGAACCAGGAGCTCACTGATCTGGCTAGTCTTACTGCCCAACAAATCCCAGGAATCCACCTGTTTCCATCTCCCCAGCAGGCCCTGTGGCCGCTCCTCTTGCTAGGGCTGAGCCAAAAGACTTCTCTCCCAGAAGAGAGGGGAAGGAACATTCTAAAAACCACTTACCCTGCAGGTTGGATGGTCCCTTACCTAGGGTGGTGATGCATCCTGAGTGGGAGCCCGTGGGGAGCTGGGTCACACTGGCCCTACTAGGTCCTTTGTGTGTAGGTATGAAGGGCTCTTTATAGCCAAGAAGCAAGTCTTTAGGGAAAGGGACAGAGGCTGGCAGATGGAACTGGGATCAGCTTCCAGAACTCACCTCTTCACACGACTCAATAGGTCTTGGCTAGGTTGGTGCTGTGGATATTCAGTCAGAGGCAAATATGTCATCAGGATGAAGGCTGGGCTAGGGATGTAGTTCAGTAGGTAGAGTGCTTGCCTTGCATGCAAGATACCCTGGGTTTGATCTTCGGCAGTACATAAACCAGGCATGGTTTCAGGCCTGGAATCCCAGCACACAGAAGGTGGAGGCAGGAGGATCAGAAGTTTAAGGTCCTCCTCAGCTATACAGGAGGCTCCAGGCCAACCTGGGCCATGGGAGTGAAATGGTCTTGAGCAACCAATGAGTGCTACAAAGTCAGACAGAGGAAGTACATGCGCAGTCACCCTGGGGAAATTTCAAGCAAGGGATAGCCAGCTGGAGGAGCCAGGGAACCTTCTGACAGTCTGTGAGGGCTGTTCTCTCACTCCCTTTCACCCCTAAAATACCCAGAACCTATGATGATTTTTTCCAAGCTTATGAAAAAAATCTTATTATAATGTTCTGCATTGAATTAATGAGCTTAATTATACAGATTCCAATCTAGTCATTAAAGTCAAGCCAGTGGTGCCTCTAATCAACACAGCCCCAGTCATTCTGTGTTGTCAAACCTATCACAGGATTTAGTCTTTAGAACAGCTCTGAAGTCAGAAGAGAGGGCACAGGCCCAAATCTTGTGGCTGCCACAGCCTGGAGGGAGCAAGGGAATGGGACTCCTGCACTTTATGTTGGATGATTGTGGCTGAGGGAGGGCTGGGGAGACAGCTCAGTTGGTAAAGTACTTACCCTAAAAACATGAGGGCTTGAATTCAATCCCCAAAATCCACATACAAAATCTGGGAGGGATGTCATGATAGCTTGCATTATCAGTGCTGGAGGGATAGGGATAGGTGGCTCCCTCGGACTTTGATCGGCTGCTAGCCTGGCAGAATCAGTGAGTTCCAAGTTCGATGAGAGACTCTGTCTCAGAAAACAAGGTAGACAGACTAGATGGATCAGCAGGTAAAACATACTTGCTACCAAGCCTGGTGATCTGAATTGAATCCCCCAAACCCACATGTTTGAATGAGGGAACTGATCCCCATTAGTCATCTCTTGACTGTCACACACGCTGTAGCATGTGCACACACAAACATTACACATATTCCCTCCCTCCCAACCTCCCTCCCTCCGTCCCTCCCTCCGTCCCTCCCTCCCTGCCCCTGAGGGAAGTAGCAGGGCAGAATGGAATCAGTCCCTGGTCCTTGTGTGTGCACGTGCATCATATCATTCTCACGAAGACTCAAAGAGGAGGAGTTGATAGGAGTCAGGCTTTGTCACCACAAAGTCAAGTGAAGCAGAGGTCGCCTCCTGGAAGAGTTAGGTGAGGGAAATGAGTGCTCTCCACTCCTCAGCTGGAGGTATCTGGGCAGCACCTACTGCTGCTGGAGCACACAGCTGTCCGTGGTGCTGACTGGCAGAAGGCTAGCTCAGTGGGACTGTGTGGACATCTAGTGGCTGGTTGGGGAACTTCCACCCCTTACCTCTTCTGAGCAGAGCTGGGATTGTTTCTCAGGGCTGCTGGGCCCTAGAAAAGTGTAGCCCCCCTGGGCCCAGGGACAGCTAAGGTCATGCTCCACATTGTCCCTTCCTCTTCTGCTTCATGTGGTCACTCATTAGTTACTGCAGTGACATCAGCACCCTGTTATGGTACATGGCAAGGAACATGGGCAAGGAGGGACAAAGCTCCTCTCCTTAAGCTTAGGTTTCTAGTGGAAGAGAGATGGTAAAAGAAGAGCAGCAGAAATAGCATGCTATGCAGAGAAGAACTGTGGTGAGAAACAAAGTCAGAGGAAGAACGAGATAGGTAGACATGGGTAGAGAGGAGGGGGCAAGGACAAGATAGGAGGGGATGTGTGTAGAGAGGAGGAGTGTGAGGGGGTGAACAGCAGGCTGGAAGGGAGGCAGCATGCATGGGAAGACCAGGTGAGGAGGGACCCTGTACATTCAAGGACCCAAGGACTCTGTGGAGGAGGGGGAATGGCTGGCAGCGAGGGAGAGTCAGTGTGAAGAATTTGGGTGAGATAAGAGATAGTTAGAAGTGTTTTTCCCCTTAGAGTTTGGGTGGTCATCCACTTAAGAAAGGTCCCTCTAGGACTCTGGCTGGCTGGAGAATGGAGTATGGGCTGGGAGCTGTTATAGGTGAGGCTGGGCAAGCGTCTAGGCAAGTTCGTGTTGGTGGGATGGCAAAGGCAAGGGCAAAGGAAGACTGAGAGTGACTCTGCTTGGCTGACAGTGGCATCTCACAGAGATGACTGCTAGAGGGCAAGGGTTTGGGTGATGAGAATCCTTTTCCAGTTGCTGCATGCTCAGTTTAAGATGCCTGGATGAGTGTGTGGGGGAAAGGTCAGGGCCAAAGGGGTAATTGGGAGCTGCTGGACTCTGGGAAGGGAGGAGAGTTTGGAAAGCTGAGCCAGCAGAGAAAGTGGAGGAATTTCTGGGGAGAAAGTGGCAGAGGAGGAGCTCAAATAACCCTGATGAATAGCAGCAGTGACTAGGGAAGGGCTTTAGGGAGGAGGGACCACTGTGGGCTAGGCACTGTCCTGGGCTCAGTGACTTTACTCCTTTCTCCTCCAGAAGCCTGCATGCTACGTGTGTGTATGTGTGTCTGTGTGTGTGTGTGTGTGTTGTGTGTGTGTGTGTGTGTGTGTTAAACCATTAATAAACCAGACTTGGGAGGAAGTGCTTGGAAAAGTGAGCTCCTCAGGGGATGGGGACTGGCAGCTGGGGACTGGGGACCACGGAGGCTACAGGTGGTGGCTGTCACCTGTAAGTTGCTATTGGCAACTTCCTCTGGTATACACTTACAGGCTGAGGGGTGTTAGGATAGAATTGTAACTGGATCCAGTTACAGTTTAATTTGGAATTTAATTTGAATTTGAAATTCCCACCTACTCTGTGTGTGTGTGTGTGTGTGTGTATGTGTGTATTCGTGTGTATGCATGCCATGGCATACCTGTGGGGATGAGAGGACAACCTCCAGATCAGTGCCTGCCTTCCACCTTATTTGAGACAGCGCCTCCTGTTGTTTGCTGCTGGCAGTGAGCTCCTGGGAGTTCTGTTTCTACCTTCTCCCTCACCATAGGAGCTCTGAGATTACAGATGCATGCCACCGTGTCTGACTTTACATGGGTTCTGGAAATTTGAACTCAGGTCCTCATGCTTGCACAAGTACTTTACTGAGACATCTCCCCAGCCCAAGAAAAGGAATCTTTAAGCTGTGTTTTATTCAGAGTGCTAGAACCTGAAAAAGACAGTGGATTAGCAGCCTAAAGATCTGTCTTCCATCTCATCTCCAGTGGCAGATTACAGGAGGAGAGGAAACAAAGGCAGTCATTCCAAAGTGTAGTCTTGCCCCTGACCAGGTAGTTGACTGTGTCTCTGGGATCCTGTTTTTCCTTCATAGTGGGCAAAGGCTCACATACACCAAGACCATTGACTGAGCCGCATTTCCCCTGAGTCTGCTGTTTGGTTGACATCTAGATTGAATGTTAACTCAGAACACAGAAATGGTTAGCTGTGAGTGTGTGTGTGTGTGTGTGTGTGTGTGTGTGTGTATTGATTTCTTCCCACACAATAAAGTATAAATGTGCTCTTATAGCATAGACTAGGACATGCCCATATCAGCAGTATGTGCACATAGATTCCTTCATACAGAATGAGGGACCAATATGCTCTGATAATATAGACTATGGGGCTGGAGAGATGACTCTGAGGGTAAGAGCATGTATTGCTCTTGCAGAGGACCTGAGTTTGGTTCCCAGCACCTACATTGGTCTGTAAGTCTGTTAAGTCCAGCTACAAGGGGATATCTGATACCTCTGGCCTTCTTATGTGCCTACACTTACATGCACATACCCCTGATACACATAGTTAAAAATAAGAAAGTAAATCTTTGAAAATATATAGACTATGAAGTGCCTATCTTAGTGTTACTGAATGATCTCTCCTCCTTCTTCAGGGTTTAACTCCCTCGTTGGGGGTGTGATGGGCTTCTCCATCCTTCTGAGTGCAGAAGTGTTCAAACACAATGCGGCAGTCTGGTACCTGGATGGCAGCATCGGTGTCCTGATCGGCCTCACCATCTTTGCCTACGGGGTCAAGTATGTCTCTGTTTTCATCTTTGCTTTTCCAGCAGCCAGGAGCATTCTGACAGCCCCTCTTCTCACCTCTTTCTCCAGCCAGGAGATGACAGCAGGATCTGAACGGCTGTCACATTAACAGTTTGGGGGGAAATGTGAAGAAGCATCTATTCACCTAAGTTAGGGCATTGACATGGACCAAAGTAACATCCCACCCAAGTCTAGCTTGGAGAACCAATGAATTTATTGGGTTACTTACAACAGCACTAGTGAGGGGTTATTTACAGGAGCAGGAGTGACCCCCCGACAACCAGCCTCATCATCATAAAGTCTCACTCCAGCATGGATGAGGACTTCCCCATAGCTGCCTAAGTGCAGTTTCCTCTTTAGTTAATCTTCTAGTCTATACACTCTAGCGCCTCCCAAGAACACAAGACCATGAGACAGAATTACATACAGCTGGCAGAAGGTGTAGGAGGGAGTGGCTGGGATCTCAGGTGAGGGTCTAAAGACCCTCCTCACCCTCTCCTTCTAGGACCTGATCTGAGGGTCTCCTGTGGGTCATCACAGTCACCTTGGTTAAGATGGTAACAACTGCTATACTCTGAGGACAGTGTACCACAGCACTTGTCCTATATCAGGAGACTGGAAAAGCCATGTACAGCCTCCCTCGTGGGAAGCACTTCTAGAAGTGAGGCAGGAACTCTGAGAAGAGGCTTAAGGCTTTTGGACCCCAAAGTCTCCTTTGCTTTTTTTCAATATCTTTATCCACTAAACGTTCCTCTCTTCAGCCCCTCATTACCTGCGGATTTATGTTCCTTCCTTTCTCTATAATGAAGGGCTTTTAAATTTTTATTATTTTAATTTTATATGTATGAGTATATTGCCCACATGTATGTAAGTGCATCTATGCCATGCAGTGCCCACAGAGGTCAGAAGATGGTGCCAGATCCCTGGGAACTGGAGTTACAGATGCTTGTTAACTGCCATGTGGGTACTTGGATTCAAACTCAGGTTTTCTGCAAGAAGAGCCAGTACTCTTAACCACTGAGCCATTTCTCTAGCCCCATTTATTATTATTTTTGGGGACTGGGTGTTATGTAGTTTAGGCTAGCTCCAAAATTACTAGGTAGTCAAGGATAACCCTGAACTTGAAATCCTCCTGCCTCTACCTCCTGAGTGCAATAAAGAGGGCCTTCATGCTGCCCCAGGTAAGCATCGTCTGAGGTCCCACCTGCCACCTGTGGTCTGTGGGAATCGGAGGAGGTCAAGTCAGAGGTGGCTCTAGCCTTCTCAAAGCCTTTACAAAAGGGACTGACTGCTCCATGCAGAAGGGTTACCCTTAGGGAAAAGCCCTCCCTCAGTATGGGGCCCTATGTACCCGGTTACCAGAAGAAGTACCATACTGACATTCCTGGATCTGACCTCCATACTGGACCCAGCCTTTGAGAAAACTATTTATGTCAAGGTGCTCGGCTTTTAAAAGTTAAGTGCTTCCAGCTCTTAGGAAGGTGTTATCCCCAACTTTGAGACAGGTACGAGTATTGATAAGGACTGTGAGCCTTGTACCTGGCTGCCAGACTGCACATTGCTGCTGCTTTGGGAAAGAGCATGGTAGTCCTCAAAAGGTTAACTGTGCATTCCCATTTGGTCCAGCAATTCACTGCTTGGTGTACAACTCCAGAAACATTTAAGGCAGACATAAATGCCAAAACTTCTAGGTGAATTATTCAAAATACACACAAGTAGAAATCCCCCTATTAAGTAATGAATGGCTAGATATGGTACATCCATTCAGTGAACTATTAGTCAGCTATCAAAATGAATGAAGCAACAGCATACACTACAATGTGGATGGCCCTCCAACATCATGCTAAATGAAAGTGGCCAGATCAAAAGGCCATATCGATTTTTATATGAAATTTCCAGAACAGGTGCATCCATAAAACCAGAAAGTAGATCATTAGCTGTCCAGGAGGAGGTGTGGACAAAAAATGGGAGTGGCTGTTAATGAGCATAGGGGATGATAAAAATGTTCTGGAATTAAGATAGTGTGGATGATCACACAGCTTCATGAATATACAGGAACCCACTGAGCTATACATTTCAAAGGGACAGTTGTACGGTATGTGGACATAAATAGTCACAGCTGGGGCTGGGGAAGTGACTTAGGTTGTAAAGGGCTTGCCTCACAAGCACAGTGAGTTGGATCCTTGGACCCATGTAAAAAATGTGGTGCATTCAGGGAATCCCAGTGCTGGGGAGGCAGACAGGGAGACCCCCAGGGCTTGCTGGCCAGTCAGCCTAGCTTACTTTGTGAATTCCAGGGAAGAGGGAGACTGTCTCAAAAAACGAAGGTGGACGACACCTGAGGAAGGATGGCCAAGGTTATCTTCAGGCTTCTACAAGCACCCCCACATGTGCATATGTACCCACCCACTTGTACACATGCACCTTCACACACATGAACACACAACACAATATAAACACAACACAACACACACGCGCACGCACGCACGCACGCATGCACACAGAGTCTCAGCTTTCCTAAGCGCTTCCAGGCCCAGGGCTGCAGAGGGTCAGGAGGTGATCCTGTCTGTCTTCCTTTCCACAGGCTCCTCATCGACATGGTGCCCAGAGTGAGACAGACGCGTCACTACGAGATGTTTGAGTGAAGGCAGCTAGAGGGACAGCATGGGCTGCCCTGGGTGAAGACCATCACAGTGGCGAGAAGTTTCCATACAGGCAGACAGTGCCAATATTTAACTGCACATCCAGTTTCATTTTGGGAAGTTTTCTTTCATAGTCTGTCATCAAGGGATGGGGTCTGTCCAGTGAGTAGACCTGTCCTACATCCTCACTTGGTTGCCCCCCATCAAACATGTTAGGATGATCCACCCATGGGAAGAGACATGCTTTGCCATCTTGAGCTGGAAGTGACATTTTCTATTTCCTGGAGTCAAACAGTTCTTGAAGGTAGGCTAGAGTCTCTGCTTTTCAGGAAGCACCCTGTGGTGCTGTCAGCCAAAACTAGATAATAACTGATGGGCCCCACTTCCTCCCAACTCTCCACATTTGGCCAAGCCACCTCCAGCTCCAAAGTCTCTGATCAGATTCCATCAGTAAGTCACTCCCTAATTTCTATCAACCTGTTTCATTAGTTTCATAGACTTTTTACTAATCCTAACTCTAAACAGATGTGTTCAAAGGGAGACCATTCTATTTTCTAAAGTGTTTAGTGACACATGAGCTTTGCATGGATGAGCTATGTAAGCACACAGCCCTTTGTCCCCTGTTCAGAATCTGCCCATCCATGAAAACCCAGGAACCATTTTTGAGACATGTGAAACTTAAGTTTATTTGTAATAAATAATTATATATCATCTATCTGTATTTGCATATATCTATATGCTGTGCTAAGTGGTCATGGTACCTCACAGTTTGTGAGAGACGGTTCACTCCTCCAGAAGGAACGAGATGTCCTCAGTTTATGTAACAATAGATATAGGTGCCAGAGACATGTCCCTCACCCACAACATTCTGTAACTCTCACAGGACTGCCTGCCTGGGCAGCAGTACCTGGCCAATAAAGACCTTTACTTGTTTTGTATGGTATGAGGGGGTTATGTTTGAGAGATATCAGTGTGTGCGCCAACATGTGGGGAGTATCCATCATGGGCAGGTTTTTTTTGTGTATATGTGTGTGATGTATGTGCGTCTGTGTGTGTGCTCTCTCTTCCCTGTGTGTTCACATGTGGAGGCCAGAGATTGACTTTGGATAGCTTCCTCTATGGCTTTTCCAACTCATTAAAAAAATCTATGCTCGTCTGTCTGTCGTCTGTCTGTGTATGCATGAAGGCAAAGGCACACAGGTGCACACAGAGAGCAAATCTCAGCAGTCTATTCTCTTCTGCCACCTTGTGAGATCCAGGGCTCGAACTCAGGTTGTCAGGCCTCGGTACAAGTGCCTTCACTCACTGAACCATCTTGCTGGCCCACCAGTTTTTAAGACAGCATTTCTTATTGAGCATGGAGCTTACAGATTCAGCTATACAAATTGTCCAGGGAGTCCCAGGAATCTGTCTGTTTGCCCCCAGTGTTGGGGTTACAGGTGTGTGCTGCCACATCTAGCTTTTACATGGTGCTGGGGATCTGAACTCAGACTCTCATATTTGCACGGCAAGCATTTTACACTGAGCTATCTTCTCGGCTCTTGTGGGCAGGTTTTTCTCTTGTGGTTGAAGGAAGACATGGCAGGGGCTGCCTGTGCCTGGTGAGAGTCAGAGCTTGGTCATGACCTTGGTGTGGCATGGTGATGAGTTCTGTGACTTTGGGGTAGACATACTCACAACTGCCCACACATTCACTAGTTGGCACTGGAGGCTCCTGAAGGCCCATGTTATCTGGGCAGAGGGACTAGGCATCATCCAGGCATTGGCGTTCCACTTCATTCTTGCACTAGGGGAAGACACAGAGTGAACACACCTAATCCCCAAATTTGAAATCCAAAATGCTTACCTACACGGTGCCACAAACAGAAAAGTTCACACCTGGCCTCGTGTGACAGGTGCCAGTGACAAAGGAGTCCCAGTACAAATACTGTAGGAGAGGACCTTCAGGCCATGGATATCAGCTATGTAGGAAACATAAATAACTTTCCTGATCAGCTTTGAGTCCTGTCCCAAAGATAACTCAGGAGTCTATAAGATTTCAGAGTCTATAAAGTCCTGAGATCTGAAACACTTTTTTACATTAATATTTTTGGGTCTGTGTGTGTGTTTGTGGACATGCACACACTTATGTTAGTATGTTGGGTGTCTGACACTTCCATTCTCTGCCTATTCCCTTGAAACAGGATCTCTTACTGAACCTGGAGCTTTAGTGGCAACTGGAAAGCCCCAGAGATTCTCCTATCTCTGCTCCCACAACTCTGGGGTTACAAGCTTGCCTGGTCATGGCCGGCTTTTTGTAGGTGCTAGGAATTTGAACTCAGGTCCTCATGCTTGTATAGCAAGTGCTCTTAGCTGCGGAGCCATTTCTCATTGAAACATTGAAAACTGAAAAATTTCTGACTCAAGCATTTCAAATAAGAGACACTATATTGCAGTCAGTTCTGCAATCAGGATCCGTGGTCCGAAGTGCCCCGAAAGGCACTGAAGAGTCGCCTGTGAGTTCTCCTCATGTTCCCCACATATCATGTGTGCATGCCTGGGAATGCAGAGTCCATAGATTTGTCATGCAGCCTTTCTCACTGTATTCAAGATATGATAAAGCTCTGAGGGTTGAGCCTCACATGGTGTGAACTCCCTGGTGCCTCACATGGTGTGAACAATTCCCTAATGTTTCACACGGTCCTGATGTCTCACATGGTGTGAACAACATGTTGTGAACAATTTCCTGGTGTCTTGATGGGTGCTACTCAGGAGGGCCCCTGGTATTAGAGAGGCACCTTGATAACTTCTGATCCTCCTGTCTCCACTTCCTGAGTGCTGGGATTATAGTATGTACCACCACGTCAGTTTATATGGTGCTAGGGCCTGAATCTAGGGCCTTGTACATGCTAAGCAAGTATTCTACTGACTGAGCCACATCCCCAGACTCCTGAGCAATGCTAATGGCCCATAGATCCCGGGTTCCAAGCCTGCTCTTTTTGAAGGAGAACCGAGGCACTCTGGATTCTGGCTCAGCTTGCCATTCAGAAAGAGTTTTAAATGCATGGTGCATTAACTGCTATCACAGAAAAGAAAGCCTAGCAGTTCATTTTTAAATTCAGGTCTCTTTGAGGTGAATTGAAGGTGGAGAGTGTTCCCAGCTGGTGGACTGGATGGCATGGGAGAATGCTAAGTGGTAAAACCCTCCTTCAAGTCCTTTGTGTGTAAGGTATACATATGGAGGCCAGAGCTCAACAGGGGCTGCCATTCCTCAGGACACTCTCTACCCTTTTTGAGACAGAACTGCTGATTCAGCTAGGCTGGTTGGCCATGAGCCCCAGGGACCCTGCTATTCCCACTTCCTTAGGGCTGGGATTACAAGTGTGTGCCACCACATCTGGCTTTTTCACATGGGTTCTGGGGATGGAACTCAGGTCCTCGTGTCTGCATGGCAAGCACTTTACCAACTCCCAGCCCCTGGTCCTCCTTTGTGTGTTGGCACCATGAAATGCTGCCTCAGCCAGCTCCCCAAATCACTTCCAGCTGTCACACAAGAAAAGTTTATTGAAAAATAAAGTTCTCCCTAGTTTCTCTACAACAGAGGAAACAAAGCAGTGTTCTCTATGCGGTACAGTACATCGGGACAGTGACACCTCATTTGTAGCATCTTGGGACTTAACCCCAGAAGTGACAGTAGAAAATAGGTTTACTGGGATCAGCTTGAAGACACAGATGTAAATGGCCACAAATTTAACATCATCAAGGTTTTGACAAGAACTACAGTACAAGGGATGTCACCACCTCCTTTGGCATTGTGGGTACACTACTATCTTTAATACTTGGGCAGGGCTCTGATCAAAAACGCTTCCCACATTGCTCCGTTCCAGCTTTAGTGGGTGCCACAGGCTGTGTTGAAGTTCCTGGCCTGCTGCCCAGCCCATTCCCTGTGTGCTCATTACCCACCCTGGATCCCAGAGAACATAGCCTAACTCACAAGCATATGCCTCCCAGCTGTAGGGGTGGAGGGTCATCCGCAGGGTGAGTTGAGGGGCAGTCTTAAGTGCCACAAAATCTGAGGCAGAGTGAAACTCTGAAAAAGGTAAATTCAATTGTTACATCCTTAGAACTATAAGAATACCAACGAGCTGAGAAGCCAAAGGAATTGGGAAAACACACTTGTCTACAGACTCCCTGTTCACACTCACAATCCACCCAGAGTTGTTCTACCAGGGAAGAGGCTAAATTCACAAGAAAATAAACAGCAAACTGATATTAAAGTGACATGGAGCCACCTCAGGGAACTGTTGAAAAAAACCAAATTCCCTGCCTGAGGGTTGCTTCAGGCAGGTGGGTTTTCCCAGGCTACCGGAATTGACCTTGGATTGGATGGAAACAAAATGAAGTAACCAGCCTGCTGGGAGCAACCCTTTCCAGCAGGGGGCAGCAAAGGGATTTCCTGGGGAATGTGTAAGTTCAGTTGGTCACTCTTTAAACACAGAAGAATCCATTATTGCATTGTAGATGAATAGAAATGAACTCTAATTCAAGGAGTGCAATTTGTGAAAGAATTTTAATTTCTAGCTCCAAAAGTTTCTCAAAGAAACTCCTGGAATGTTCCAGAACATAACAGTGGGATGAGGTCTGGCCCTTTTCAACTCCAGTTAATCAATTCTTGCCGCCTTGTTTCATTGGGGGCTGAAGACTAGCATAATTTCAAACTCAGTGCATTCAAGAAATACATTAAAATTTCAGCAATCAAGGTAGGCGCAGAGCTTAAACATTTGAAATGAACAATTCCTACAAAATCTGATCAACTAGGAATAAGATTTTCATGTAATCGTCATTTTTTGAATCAACAGATAGGGAATGAGCTCAGCTCTTTATTTCTCAAGTTTTATGATATACTAATAATATCAATATTGAACATTCACCAGGCTTACTATGAGCCAGGCACTGCACTAAACACCAAATCTCCACAGAACCCTAAGAGCTAGGAAAGTTAGGGTAATTTTTATTTTTTGCATCCAAGACTATACAGCTAATTTGGTCTTTTGCTATATGTAAAAAAAAAAAACCAACAAAAAACAAAAACAAACTTGACTTTCCACCTTTTGTTGAAGCCAACAAGAGAGGAAGGAACTCAGCCAGCTGCTGGCTTACTAGATCTACAAATCTATTTCTGCCCATCCATCTACTCTAATGAAGACACGCTCTGCAGTTCCATAGGGACAGATGGGATTAGAATAAAGCCAATATGTTAATTAAAATATTTTAAAATAAATAAAACAGTCCAGGCTTGAGATAGTATCATACAACAGAGCCCGTCGTTAACCGAATACTTGATTTTTCCTTTTAACTGAAGAATTTTAGGAGAGGTGGCAGTGTCTAATTACAAATACAGTCTAGGTAAACCACCCTGGTCTGGTCTAAAGAGCACACACCCACCTACAAATAACACATGGTTTCATGTTACTGATAGGTCTTCTTTACCAGTGAGTGGTACTGCGGTTCCACATCCACATTCATTCACTAACGAACAGAAAATAGAAAATGGACATCTCATTTCTCCAATATGCTAACTAGTTGAAGTATTTCTGGGCTACTGCTCCTAAAAAGCTGGATTTAGGGCTGGTCTTAGCCAGGGATAAGGTACAAGGGAATGAGGCTCTTAACCGCCTTGGTAACCAGCAGACCCCAAGACAGGGCTAATGGGATTCTTCGCATCATCACTCCTCCTCTGGGGACCGGGACGGGGGCGGGGGGGACAGGCGGACGGGGGGGGGCAGGGGTGATGCACACACACACACACACACACACACACACACACACACACACACACACAGACAATCTGCTGTTAGTCTTCAGCAGCAATAGCACCCAGCTTCCAAAAACCAACCCCACAGAAAAATAAAAAGGCACACTAGGGAAACAGGTACCACCAAAAGAACAGATTCTAATATTTCCAAACACTCAGCAGACACGACAAAGTATTTATAAGCAGGGACAAAACAAAACAACGGAAACCAAAATCATTCAAAGCACAACTGCAAACAGCATTTCCATGGCACACAGGAAGTACACGGGGTGTGAACTGGGATTCGAAGAGGTACTTTCTCTCCCTTAATAAATTAGATAAAGGTTTTCCCCACTTTAAAAAAAGTCTTAACATCATAAAGAGGAAAAAACTCCAAAGACCAGGCAAGACGTGATTATAGTGCAGGAAAACATGAATCCCGATCGTGGATTTCTCTCCCATCAGTTGCAGATGGGTTTGGGTTTCTATAAAGGTCAGCAATGTTTTGTGAAAGCCCTACTGGCTCCCAGCCCACACTGTGAGCGAGCACTTCTGACTTCCACACCAGGCAGGCAGAAGTCCCTGCCAATTTCCCCTGGAGGGTCACTTGGCTACACCTGTGCTAACTCTGCGGAAGCCTGGGAGCTAGTATTATATTCAGGGTTGCACCCCAGCTGTTGATAATACTCTTACCAACTAGAGGGTGGCAGGCTAGCCCCTTAGAGCAGCAGCGGCACCAGAGGAAGAGGGACTGACTTCAGGTTAAAATAGAAAGAGGAATTACTTGGGAGAAAGTGCTTTTTTGGGCTGCTTGACCCAGGGATCTTGAGTTGGAGAAGAACGGGAAGGTGGAGAGCCCTTGAGCTCTGACCAGCCAGCTTCTGCAGGTGGGAAGAATGTTGCTCAGGCTGTCTGCAACCCTGTGCTAGTTAAAACAGCGCTCTGCTAAGCAGGGGAATCACTGTCAGCTCGCCGGCTCTCCCTGCAGGTTGAATGCCCAAACTGTCACTCACAGGCTGTGGGACTCCCGGAAATGTCCACGAGAGGGCGGACCAGCTCAGGATTTTTAAGCTCTGGAAACAGGCAAACTCCTGGGGTGCAGGCAGGAGGCCCACTCTCAGGAAAAAAAGCCCTTCCCCACAGGAAGGCCGCCAGTTCTCTACCGTCCTACCGCAGGAAGCTGCCATGGCAAAGCATGAACACACACGCACTTCATAACTATGTTTCCTTTCAACTTCTGCCCTCCCTGCAGTTGGACCTGGACAGAGGTGATTCTAGCCAGGTCTTCAGGGACCCCTGTGTCAGTGTTTAGAGTTGAGGTCCCCCACAGGTACTCTCCTTGGCTGCCCCTCCCCTAACCCAAGTTGGTCTCCACAAAGCAGATTGTCCTTTCCCTTGCTTCTGGAGGGCCCAGACAGTCAGCAACCTCACTCAGCTGTTCTGCAAGGCAGAGGCTCCACCTAGCCACCCTCCCCTCCCACAGCAGGCAGGGCACTGGGCAGCACCAGCAGGTCAGGAAGTCCACCCTGCCAGTCAGGGCTGGGGACAATGCTAACGGCTCACAGCAAGAGGTAGAAGAAAGTTCACTCTCACTACATAGCCAAGGATAACCTTGAATGCCCAATCCTCCTGCATTTACTTCCTCCCTGGGATTACAGGCGTGCACCTAATTTTATTGAGGTGCTGGGGATGGAACACAGGGCTCTGTGCACCGCTAGGCTAAGCAAGCACTCTACCAACTGAGCCACATCCCTGCTCCTAAAGCAAGACAATTTTTGCTCTGCTGTGACTTGCTTCCAGAAGCCAGGTCTCCACAGCTACTCTCTACTCTCAAGCATGCCACCCCACTGCACCCTGCTTGTGGGCAGATACCCAATAACAGGATCCTGAAGGTGGGTGATTAACAGGGGAACAGAAGAGGAAACTGTGGTCAACCCCTTTCCTCCCTCCCAGCCTCCCTCCCTCCCTCCCAAATAAATAAGTTAACATGTCCCCAAAGTTTCCAATCAGCTCAATTCCTCCTCTTGTTTTGCTCTGAGTTGAATGAGTCTCAAGACTTTTTTTCTTTTTTGTTTTAAACCCCTGGAGCAGCTGCCTCAACAGTCTCTCTACAGCTGCTCCTCACAAGATAGAAATGACGTTTGTTGCACCTGGGAGAAGCCAGGCTCCTGGCCTGACCTCTGCTCTCATGTTGTTTTGGTGTAAGTGCTGGCTGTAGCTGGAGCAGTACCAAATCCAAGCCCTGGACCAAAAAAGTTGGGGCTCTGGCCAGAGTCCCTGAATGACTTTGGTCCGCTGGCCCCACCCGGTGGAGCCACCTCTTCCCCATCCAGATGAACACTGGGTGGCTATAGGCAGTCTTTGCAGAGGGCCACCTGGCCCTTGATGAAGTCCCGACACGGGCAGATCCTCTTGTGTTTGGGGTGGGCCCCGGCACAACTAAAGAGCAGGAGGTCTGCTTGGAACACACAGTGCTTGCTCTCGGGAAGGAAAGAGGGTGCCAGGATGTCCTTGAATTTCTCTGAGCTTTGGCAGATTATGTCATACCTGGGGAGGAAGAGAAAGGCACATGAGTTGGAGATGGGCAGGGACAGGACCCAAGCACATGGCCGGATCACCTGCTCTGTTGTAGGGAGCATATCCCAATCCTGTAGGGCATCCTCTACCTGACCCTGAAATTATCCATCTCTAGGAATCTCAGCTGTGCAAAGATAAGCATGCTGTCAAATGTGTGTGAAGGGGACCAGCTTTCAGGCTGGGTTCTTTGGGGAATTGTTACCTGCAATGGAGAAAACCAAGGAACACCCTCCATACCCACCAAGTGGGGAAGGGCTGAATAAACCATGGTCATTCTGTGCTTTGGGACTTTGTATAGCTATTGGAAAACAATGGAAGAGAAATGTGTAGCCCACCATGAGAGCTGACCTGGAGGGAGGCAGGTTATAGAGCAGGATGTGCAGTATGATGAACTTGCTGTGTGTCAAAAACCAAAAGGAAGGGTGCGGTGGTTGAAGACAGGGGAAGGGGTCTGAATATGATCAAAATACATTATATGAAAGTCTCAAAGATTCAATAAAATATTTTTTAAAAGCCAAAAAGGGGTGGGCTGAGTTTTGATTCTCCAGAACCCATGTTTAAAAAGAAACACAGCCAGGCATGGTGGCCCTCGCTTGTGATCCTAGCACTGGGGAGGTAGAAACAGGCAGATCCCTGGGACTTGATAGCCATCTAGCCTACCGACTTGGTGAGTCCCAGGAAAACGAGAGACCCTGTCTCAAAAAGCCAAGTAGACCTGAGGAATGACAGCCAAGGTTGACCTCTAGCCTATACAGAGAGAGAGAGAGAGAGAGAGAGAGAGAGAGAGAGAGAGAGACCAAATGACTATATAGTAAAGTGCTGGCAATGACTGCTTCTATGAGTAAGACTGGGGTCAACTGGTGTTTCACTGAAATGTTTCAGAAGCACCTTTAACTTTTAGCCAGGCATGGTGGCTCACAACTGTAATCCCAGTTGAGCTCAAGGCCAACATAGTAAATTCCAGGCAAGCCTGGGCTACAGAGAAAGACCATGTCTTAAAGAAGAGGCTGTTGTGGTGGAAGATCAGGAGCTCAAGGTCATCATAGTAAGTTCAACACCAGTCTGGAATATATAAGACCCTGATTCAAAGTAATAATAAAAAAAGGAGGAGTAGGGGAAGGGTGGGAGGGGGAGAGGAAGAGGAGGAAGAAGCAAAGGCAGGAGAAAATATGCCTACTTTTTAAAGGCTTCAAAAGATTCTTGTTATATGGCCTCAGTTACAGGAGAGCTGAGGCTTCAAGGCATTGGAACAGGTGAACTAGGCCTGCTATAGAGTCCTGTGTTCCTGCATCTTCCTCCCTAAGCTGAATGTTCTGTGGGCTACGCACCAAGCAGGTTTGCTCTCTCAGTCTGGGTCCACTGCTTGAGGGGGGCAAGGAAACTACAATGATTTGTCTCCAAAGACACTGTTTGTTCAGTTGGCTCTGTTCAGTTGACTCTGTGTGTGTGTGTGTGTGTGTGTGTGTGTGTGTGTGTGTGTTGTGTATGCATGTATGGAGGCCAGAAGTCAATCTTGAGTGTCACTTCCTCAGGAAAGTTGTCTACCTTGTTCTTTGAGACAGGGTCTCTCCCTGGCCTGGAGCTTGCTGATTTGCAGTGAGCCTTGGGATCATCTTGTCTCTGTCTCCACAGCAACTGGCCTTTTCATGACACCATGACTGGCTTTTCACATGGATTCTGGGGGATTGAGCTCAGATCCTTATGCTTGACTGGCAAGCATTTCCTCCTCAGTGTGGGATTATAAGTGTGCATGACCACACCCAGCTGGTATTGGGCCTCTTAAAGAACTGCAGATCTTTCCCTCTTAGGTGGGATGAACTAGCCACCTCCCACCAAGACTCCATCTAGACAAGGAGGCTCACATGCTCGTAGGAAGCAGTGTTGCTCCTGAGGTTTGGAGAGCAAGGTGTAAAGGAGTACTAGGCAGACCTCAGTTTGAGACTCAACTTTGTCTCTTGGGAGCTGTGTGACTATGAACAAATGACCGAGCTTCTTTGTGGCTCAGTTTTCTTTTCTTTCTTTCTTTTTTGGTCTTTTAGAGACAGGGTCTCCCTGTAGCCCCAGCTGGCCTACAACTCACTATATAGACCAGGCTGGTCTTGAACTCACAGAGATCTACCTGCCTCTGCCTCCTGAGTGCTGGGATTAAAGTTGTGTGTCACTATACCTGGTCAGTTTTCTCTTCTATAAAATGGGAATATATAATCCTTACCTGCAGGAATTAGTGTTATCAGAGCACTTGACAGAGTCTAATGGTGAGTTAGTAGATAACTACAGTTAATGCTTATGACAGTTAATACTGTCAACTTGATAGGATCTAAAATCATTTAGGAGACAAAGCTCTGGGCATCTCTGAGGGAGTTTCTAGATTAGATTAGTTGAAGTGGAAAGACCCAACCTAAATGTGGGTGGCACCATCTGATGGGAAGGGGCCCTAGACTGAATAAAAAAGAGAAAGTGAACTGAAGACCAGCATTCATCTCTCTCTGCTTCCTGACTGGTGTGACTAGCGCCTCATGCTCCTGCAGCCACCATGCCTTCTCTGTCCCTGTTCTCTCAAACTGGGAGCCTTAAGTTGGTTTTGTGTGGTATTTTTGTCACAGCCAACAAGACAAGTAACTAACTATACAGGCTCCCAGGTCTTTCAAAGGCTACCCCAAGTGGCCAACAAAAGGAAAGGGACACCTGGAGCTCAATTAGGAATGAAGTGTGTACATGTGGAATATGGCCTTGGGATGTAGACTTATACCTCTCCTGTTTATTCATGGAGGAGGATCATAGCAACTGGTGTTGCTAAGTCAGACCATCTCTCTGGCATCCTATCAATCAAGGATGAGGTGATCTTTACTATTTAGAACCCAGGGTAGGGAAGGAATAGCTGGGAGCCAGGAATGTCCCACCCATGTGCACTTAGATACTGTCTGGTAGCTAGGAGCACATGTGGATACATGTCTGTGTGTCCCCCAGGGTGCAGGGCTTCAGTCTGCTGTGGTGAGGCAGCTCACAAAGCGCTCCAGCAGCTGACATTTCAGCCCTACTATATGGCCTCTCCTAGAAGGAGAGGTTGTGGGCTAACAGGCTTAGGCTCCGGCCACTTTCATCCACCTTTCTCGGTCTGAGTATCTTCTTGTTCCCACAGAGGCCAAATTCAATTTTTGGACCCAAATAAAAAATGTGAAATATGTTCTCACCTGAATGGCCACAGTTTTATACCAGCATAACAGAAAAATTGCAAGCTGCACTTCTGCAAGTTGGGGTCCATGTGTGACTTAAATTTTTAGAAGATAACAACTGATTTAAAGAGGTACAATAGCACAGAGCAGGCAGGATGGGAACACATGCTGCTCTTTATGGAACCAAGACCCCAGTGGGCCAATGCTGGAGTGGATGCTGGAACCTCCTGGGGTCCTCCACCTTCTGGTCCTCACTAACCTTGGCTTTTTCCAGCCTTGGTGGAGTGCCATGAGTCATACATACTCTGTGGCTGCCTCTCCAGCACTTAACCGTCCTCTGTATGCACAGGAGCTCAAAGGCCACCCTTCTGACCCTTGCCAAGTCAAGTGTGTATGCCAATTAAAAATTTTAAATAAAAAAAGCAGTGTGCAAACCGACATTTAAACATATCATCATTTATGTGAATGTTTAATATTTTAATTAAAAAAATTTTATTTTACATGTATGAGTATTTTGCCTGCATTGCATGCCCATGGAAGCCAGAAGAGGGCATCAGATTCTCCTGGAACTAGAGTTTCGGACAATCATCAACCACCATGTAAGCCCGGTGCTGGGAACAAAACCCAGGCCCTCTGCAAGAGCAGCCAATGCTCTTAACCACTGAACCATCCGTCAAGCCCCATTTATATGAATTTTAAAACACATAAAACTGTTCAGTGTTACTGGATAAACACATCTGTAGGAAAGAAAAAATTAAAGTAGGTGGTACTGGAGACCGTTCTAAGCCATTCTATAACAACGATGTCTACATTTTGTTTCACATGTGCAAGCTGGTAGGGGAGGCCATCAAGTCATGGGGGCGTACTGGAGATGAGGAAAGGGGAAACAGGAGGGAGAAGGGGAAGGGGAGGTAAGGGGCACTGGAGGGAGAGTACAGGATCAGGTTACATTATATGCCTGCATGGAAATGTCAAAATGAAACCTGATGCGGATACGCATACTAATATAAATATTTTTCTGTGTTTCTGTGTGGTGTGTGTATGCCATGTTTACATGTGTGTAGGCACATGTATGAGTAGGTGTGTATGCACATGTATGTGTATGTGGAGGCCAGAGGTTGATATTGTTTTCTTCAATGCCTTTCCACCTTATACATTGAGGCAGTGTCTCTCACTTAAGCAGAACTAGTCAAGTTGGCTTGTCTAGCTAGCCAGGTTGCTCCAGGGACCTCCTGTTTCTGCCTTCCAAGCACCGAGATTACAGGTGGGTAACCACACCTGCCTACATTTATGTGGGTGCTGGAGATCTGAACTCTGGTCCTCAGACTTGCCCGACAAGTATTTTACACATTGAGCCATTTTGCCAATCAAGTTTTTTAAAGAGCCCCCCCCCCCAAAATGAGGGCAACACTGGATGTTCCAAAAGGCTTGAATCTCATGCAATATTAAATTCATACTATATGGTAAGATAAAGTCATGGGCATCCACAGACTTAAAGGAGCTTAAGCTGGGCTGCAAGCTAGGCCTGAGTTGGACAGGGAAAATCAGCAGCAGCATGTCAGCCTACTAATTGCTAATTGATCAAGAACATGAATGGACCAGGATTACTTCAATAGATAGCCAGATAGTGTAGCTTTATGACATTATCAGTATTTACAAATGCAGGACCAAATCATTCAGCAGGGTTCCTGTGCTCACAGAATCAAATCCAGGCAGCTTTATTACAGGATTATCATTCACTCCTGTCTCCTCTGAGAAAACCTGAATCTCTACATTGGGGTAGAGTGCTCAAGCTGCAGGATACAGCTTGAAGGGCAGTGCTCCCCAAGCCCCTGTGCCCTGTGCACTCTGCATGATGATGATGATGGAGGAGGAGGAGGAAGGAGAGGGGGAGGGGGAGGAGAGTGAAGGAGAGAGAAGGAGGAAAGAGAGGAGGAAAGAGAGGAGGTAGAAGGTGGGGTGGGGGGAGAAAGACTGGGTAGAAGTCTCAGCCTGCCTGTCTGCTGTCAGCCTATCTTGAGCTTACCCCACTGCCCAAGGGGCTGGTCTGTTCTTCCTCCTCAACACTACAAGCTCCATGTCACTGTCACCCTGATTCATGGCTAATACTGATAGGATCTAGAATCTTCTAGGAGACAAGCCTCTGGGCATATTTGTGAGGGAGTTTCTGGATTGGGTTAACTGAGGAGGGAAGCCTCAGCCTAAATACGGGTGGCACCACTCTATGGGCTAGGGTTCTGGACTGAATAAAAAGGAGAGAGTCACCTGAGCACCAGCATCCATAGCTCTCTGCTTCTTGACTGTGGATGCAATGAGCTGCCTCATGCTCCTGCTGCCAAGCCTTCCCTAAATGGTGGACTGTACCCTCCAACTGTGAGTCAAAAATAAGCCCTTGGTCTTTAAGTTGCTTTTTTTCATGTATTTTGTCACAGCAATAATTTAGTATACTCAATAATTAGTATATTTAGTATATACTATATATTTAGTATACTCAAAATGTCCCCATTCTGCAGATGAGAAAATTGAAGTAACAAAACTGGTCCCAGAACCATGTAAAGCCAGGTACAGTAGCAGGTGTCTGTAATCCTAGCTCTTCTACTTTGAGATAGGAGAGGGATACAGGAGATTCCTTGGAAGGTCATGGGCTAGCAGTGAAGAAAAACAGAAAAGAGACCCTGTCTCAAATAAGGTGGAAGGTGAGAAACATCTAGAGTTGTCCTCTGACCTTAACATGCATGTATTGCACATGTGCACATACACTCACATATATGAATGCATACATACGTTATACATACACATATCACAGACATCATATGCATGCATGCATGGGAGGTGAGTATTCTCTGGGCTGCAGCCTGTTCCCTTTCCCACATTGTTTCCTTTCAGTCCATAGCCTGGAGATGGAACCCAGGAAGTCCAGAGGCTGAGCAGCCCCTGCCTCTCCCTTCCCACCTGGAGGCACTTACTTCAGCAAGTCCTTGCCCTTGTTGAGGTGCTGGAAGAAAGATGGCTCACAGATGAGCTGGTTCTCCTGGCACACCTGCTTGCAGGACTGTCCTGGCTCAGCCAGCTTCACCTGCAACGCACTCAAGGGTGGCCACATCACTTGGCCATGGCAGAAGTCCTAGAAGCACAATGAAGCCATCATCAGTCAGGGGACCAAGGATGCAATGGAGCAGCTCCAGCCCTGCTAGGCAACTTGACTATAGGAGCCACCATGCTGAGAGTGATGATGAAGAGGAAATGCCCTTGGGACAGGTTGTGCTCTCTCTGAACATCAGCTTCTAGGCTGTGGATGTGGTTCAGTTGGCAGAGTGCTTGCCTAGTATTCATGAGGCTATTTCTAGTACTACACAAACCAGGCAGGGTGGCTCATGCCTACAATCCCAGCACTTGGGAGGCAGGAAGATTAGAAGTTCAGTATCACCTTTGTTGCAGAGTGAGTTTGAAGCCAGCCTAGGCTATAGCCTCTGTCACAAAACAATCACTCAGACACTAGCTTCTTCATTCCCTGTGAGGACCTTCTTCAGGGTCATCCCCCCAGGTCTGTTCCTTCCTTTTAGATTCACAAACATCCATGTTATTTGGCAGTAACCTCACAGGACATTGTCACAATCTAGTTCTTTCTCAATAGAAAGTAAGATTCTGCCACTTTGAGGTGAGGGTCCAAAGGCATCTCTCATGTCCCCTGACAAAGCACTCACTGTGTCCTTCATTGGGACCTGGGGTCTGTTCCTTGAAAACAGTTATGTTGAAGCAATGAGTCCATGGGTAAAGAGAGGATGTGAAGGATGGTGGCATACTGTAAACAAGGTTGGCATGGGGCAGAGCCTGTCATTCCTGTCATCTAGAAGGACTGGAGGGAGCCAGCACAGCCAAGGGAGCCCCAAGAGGGGGTAGAGCCAGAGAGGTCAGGAAGAAATGCCACGGCATCATGACCATCAGCTGGGTAATGCAGGGGAAGGTAGGAGTGGACCACTTGCTCTGATCTGGGAGTTCAGCTATCTTTTAGCTATGCCTTTAATATTCAGGGGGCCAGGCATGAGGGCCATCTTGAGTCTACACAGCAGATGTCAGCAAGGCAGACTATCTCCACAAGATGACCCTACCTTTCTGGGATACAGGAAGTCTTGAGACCATGTTTATTAGATCATGTTTGGAGAATGCCTGTTCTGAGAAACACTTAGCATTGGCTAGTATTGTGGCCAGATGGGGTGTGTGGTGGTTAATACTGACGATGAACTTGATAGGATCAAGAGTCACTGAAAAGACAAGCATCTGGGCATATATGTGAGAGACTTTCTAGATTTGGTTAATTGAGGTAGAGGACCCATCTTGAATGTGTGTGGTACTGTTCCATGGGCTGGGATCCCAGACTGAATAAAAAGGAGAAAGTGAGCTGATCACCAGCATTCATCTCTCTCTGCTTCCTGATGCAATATAAGCAGCTGCCTCAAGCTCCTGCCACCATGCCTTCCCTTTCACCATGGACTATATCCCCTTCACCTGTGAGCCAAATTAACCCTTCTTTAAGTTGCTTTTGTCAGATGTTTTGTCACAGCAATGAGAAAGGTAACTGATAACAGGATGCCTTGTAGGAATTCACAGTATAGTCATAGGAGAACACACACACAAAGACATCATCAGATTTGGGTCAGCTCAGCAATACTGGGTGAAAGAAGAAAGGGTTAGATATAGAATAACAACAGTTCTATTTAGACATGTATATAAAGATGAATGATTCCTAACAGCGAGGCAAGTTTCCATGCCCTGATAGGAGAATATTTCTCTGACACATAGAGAAGTGAAAGAAGTTGGGTGAAGGATGGCACATAATGTGTCTCTATTTGTGAGAGGCACTGGGGAAGAAGGCAGAGAGTCACCCAGAGATGTGTGTGCCCCATACCAAGAACACCTCATGTTGGCTGGGCTGTTGCCAAGAAACCACAGAGAGGAAGGAGGGCAGTCAGTCCTTGCAGAATAATTTTTTGCCTCAGCCCTACCCCTCTGCAACTGGATAAGGAAATTAGTCACTAAAAGGAGGAGTTCCCAGTAGGATACACAGAGGAAGCACCCCACACAATATTTGTGTGGTGGAGTGGGGGGGGGGCTCACTGCCTGGCAGGCCCCCCAGCAACAAGAAGAGGTGGCACGTGTGCAAACTGCCTCTGGGACTGATGGCTTCTATTTTTTTTTTTTTTTAAGTTTTACTAGTCACAGTCGGTTACACTTGGATCCTTGGCACCTGAGTATGGATATAAAGTTATCAGGTAGATTTCAATGGTAATGTTTATCACCTCTACTAATTAACATGAAGTAAAGTTTTAAGCTTCCTCCTCAAATATAACTCATTTTTAAAAAATTTATTGATTTTTTGTGTGTATATCATATAGAACATCCCAATAATCAGATACATAGAGATTAGAGATGCATGTGCAAACATCTGAGTGTTAGTAGCATTAAAAATGAGTCTTTCTGAGGAAACAGTATATTTAAAATGAAATGGAGATCTTTTTTGAAAGTTAAAAGCTCATTCAATTTTATGTCTTACAGGGTTTATACTGAGTTTAATATTGTATAACTGTATTAATTCAACTGTGAACCTAAAAATTTACAGCCACTTTTGAAAGAGATGTATCTTTGCTCTGGAAATTGTTATTGAATATGTTAAAGCTGTAATAAAATGCTTCTTCTAATCATGTGGTTATTAAATAAACAAAAAGTTTTAAAATTTATTTATTTATTTTGTTCATTGTGAGGATCTATGTGCGTGGGTGTGTACATGCCATAGTATGTATAGAGGTCAGAGGACAATTTTTGGGAGTCAGTTCTCTCCTTTGGGTTCTGAACTCATGCCACCAGGCTTGGTGACTTTAGCAATTCCACTTTAGCAATTCTCCTGACTTTAAAAGTCCTTGTCCTTTTGTTACTTTTAATGAGGTAAAAGACAGCAAAGGAAGCCCAGACCATTCCTCCCAGACCCTGCAGGCAGCCAGTTTTAAGGTATATCTTTGTATTTTTTACTAGCTGTGCAAACTTCCTGGCAAAACATGTAACATCTGGGGCCTTACTTTCTGCACAGATCCATCCTTCAGGCAGCAAATTCTGAGGTACACCTATGTGTGCTAATTACTAGCTATGCAAACTTCTTGGCAAAATATATAACAACTGGAGCCTCAGTGTTTTGGTCAGAAAAACGGAAATAAAAGAACTTCGTATGGTTCCGGCTTCCTCCTCTCTTTCTTAAGGGAGCAAATGAAGTTGCCCCTTGGACAGTCATTCTTGATTGTCAACTTGTTTGGATTTGAAATCAACTAAGACAACACACCTCTGGGTGGGTCTGTGGGTCTGTGTTTCTAGGAGGACCCTCCCCAGAGTGGGCAGCATCTTCTGGTCAGTGCTCCAGATACAAGGAGGTTTAAGAAGAAAGCAGGGCTGTCTGCTGCCTTCACTTCTTGCTGGTGGCTGCATCCATCCCTTGTTACTGCTGCTGCTTCCATCCTTTGATGACATCAGAAGCCAACTTCTTCACCTTCCAATGCTGACTGAAGACCAGAAGGCATCCAGGAATGTTCCAGGCTTTCAGCACTGGACTGGGACTGCTGAGACACCAGCCTTGTAGACTGAGCTGTAACCAAGTTCTCAGCCTCTCCATCATGCAGAAGGCCACTGCTAAACTCCTCAGGTGGTAAACCAATCTAATAAATCCCCTTTTAAATCTATAATCATTCTATCAGTCCTGTTTCTCTAAAGAACCCTGAAAAATACAGCTCTCCTCGGAGGTAACACTGAGTGGTCAGTGGTAGTTAGGAAGCAGCTGGTGCTGGTTTCTTTTCCAGTCTCTGCAGAGCCATGATCAAGACTGGAACAAAGCAAGCCCACTGCTGTCCCCTTTCACATGCTCCTGATGAGGGTCCATGCTGTCTGAGTCTGAGTGAATTTGGCATTTAGCAAAGTCTTCACTCAATGTTTAATATTAGGCAGGAAATCTATAGCTAGAGTCCAGTAAGCTAAAATGCTAAGATTCCAGAATGCTCTTAAAATTCAGAGATGACAGAAATACACTGGATTATTCATGAGTGTTAGGACACAGGTCAATCTTCTGAAAGGGTGGTGTAGTAGGCAGAGTTCCAGAGGGAGATGGAAGAGATAGATTTTCCTGACTCCTTGTACCTGTGCTGATCTGAGCACAGTTCATCCCTGTACCAAGCCATGGGCAGCATAGTCCTGTGGGTCTGGATTGCTGTTTCTAAGGATGACGGCATGACCGTACAGATCCATGATACCCTGGATGGGAGTGCAGCCCACACTGGTGGCCACTTCTCTCTGCCACGACAGTTTGTGGAGATCTTGCACCTGACAGTTGCACCATCAGGATGGCTGTCATAGATAGAAAGAACCAACACTTGAGAGACACATGGGTGTTTGGAAAAGCTTACAATTTGTTCCTGCCTTGTTAATTAGGTGCCTTTACTTATAACTCCTTAGAAGCAAATAGCCTTTAAATATTGTAATGAAGAGAGCTTCAATTCAAAATACACCAAGCCCCCCTTGGGGACTAGACAGGACAGGTGTATTAGTTATTATACTATCCCTCTTGCTTTGACAAAATACCTGGCAAAAGCAACTTCAGGGGAAGGGTTTATTTTGGCTCACAGTTTGAGGATACCATCCATCATGACAGAAAAATCGTGATGGCCAGAATCTGAGGTGGCCAGTCATGGTGTTCAGCTTGCTTTCTCCCTTTTATTCAGTTGCTGGGAGAGTGCAGCCCACATTCAGAGTGGGTCTTCCCTCTTCATTGACATACCCAGAGGTGTTTCCATGGTGATTCTAAATCCAGTCAACCTGACAATTATAGCCATCCCAACCCACAAAGGGACCTAGATCAGACTTGTCTGCCTCAGAAGGCAAGCCAGAATTTCTCTGCCTCTTGTATATGTCATGGTAGAATCCCAGTGCTATAGTGTGGATCTTTACTGTCTCTTAAAGGCCCATGTACTGAAGGCTTGGTCCCCAGTGAGGCTTGGAACCCATGGGAGGTAGGGCCTTTGCTTGAAGTCTTTAGGACACTGAGGGTTTGCCTTTGAAGGAAATTTGGGGACTCCAGTCCCTTTTTGCTTC